TCCCCACGTTTCTTATTACGCCAATATACCAAAATATGACGCGTTTCACGTTTACAAACAAAAATATCACCTGTGTAGAAGTCCTCAACAAATACTGAGTTCAATTGCAAGACTTTATTTTGCTTATTTTACTTGTTTTTATTAAGTTAACATCATCATTAGTTATTCGTTCCATACACAACTGTGACAGTATAGCTGTTAATATGACGACGACATTGTAAGGGTTTTATACTTGCAATTAATATTATTTGCATACAAAATCGAATTCATTAAAAGGTAAACAAAGCAATGATACTAGCTTAATCATTGCATAGAGACGAAATCAGTGTGCAAAAGGAAGTTTTTTCTAGAAATGTTCAAGAGGTAACTTTTCACTTTCGCACGGGCATGTAAGATGGCCGGTCAATTTGTCTCGAAGCTAACAGTTTAAATAAGCAGCCTTCGATGGTGGAATGCGACTCGACCGATACCACCGCGTCTGGCCAAACACTACATTTGTTGAACGTTACGGTCTCCCAGATTTACATAGCTGATTTTCTGTATTATAGTATGTCATAGACGCACGCCTAACGCGCAATGGTTATCGTGCACATCGCTAGAATGAATAATATTCTAACGAAGTGTCGTAGTAAGGGCTCGTAAGTCCACTTTCTTCAAGAAAGTTCAACGCGCGCCAAAACGCACACACTGTAAGAATTATCTGGGCATAGCAAACAAGTTAACCTAATTAAGTAATGGCCAAGATTACGACTTGTGTACTTGTTTACATTTAAAAACTAATTTGAGTTACGCCTGTGACATTAAAATAAATAGATATTATGATTTTTCAAGAATTACGTGGTTGTATTTTTAACACGCTTTTATTAGGTCGACTTACTATGTAATAAAATCTAAGAATCTGAATTACACGCATTTCTAATTCTTGTATCATCATGAAACTTGGTAATTATATGTATATTAGATGACAACACAATATTATGGTACCATCGAGCTAGTCTGATGATGGGACTGGAAGGTGGCTGAAGGAACCTTGGACTGCCTACTAGTAAACATATCGAGTTTGGGCTCATTAGATTCGTCTTAACATCATATCAGCCGTATGACGCCCACTGCTGGACATAGGCCTCCCCCAAGGATCTCGTCTTAACATATTCTATTTTATTTTTTCTTGATGACTGAAACTAAAAAAAGTAAAATAAACAAAATATACTCTCTGTTTACTTCATTAGGGCCTTAGAGTAAGCCATGTTTATAGTTTATTTTAATATATATATATATATTTACATCACAGTTCCTTTTCGGCGTCTTCATAATTTACATCAGTTTTGCGTTCATGTCTTTTACAAGCATTTATCTTCATATCTTTGTGTATATTGCTTTATAATCGTATACAATATTATCTGATGAGTTTATATTTACAAAATGCACTTTATTTACCAATATATATTTTCTCTTCATATTGGTACCCATTTGGACCCATATTTATATCTACTTCAATACGGCGTCAACCGACTACCAAGTTTCAACAGTGTAGTTCTTATAGTTTGGGAAAAAAGTGGCTGTGATATACGAACGCACAAACGGACGGACATGACGAATCTATAAGGGTTCCGTTTTTTGCCATTTGTCTACGGAACCCTAAAAATAAATTAAAATAATTATTTAAGTGGGGCTCCCATACAACATGGGTATTTTGTTTGCCGTTCTTGGCACTATATTAATAACGGCAACTTAAAGATACTCGAAATATTCACAGTATATTTAGTTGTGGATTGACTATAAAAATTAATAATTAAATAAAAAATAAAAAAAATGATAGCGGGCTCTCATGATGACGTGATTTTTTGCCATTTTTGGTACGGAATACTTCGTGCGCGAGACCGGCTCGTACTAGGCCGATTTTTATTATTTGACCGCAGTGGTATATACAATAACTTAACAAATATTGCTTTATTTTGTTTGAAATTAAAAACAATTAAACAGGTCCATATTGATTTAGGTACATTCAAAATACACTTTGACCTTGAACTTGAACTTATTTGATTTTTTTTTTGCAAAATTGCAATAAAGTTTAATGATGTTAATAGCGAAATAGTCCGTAAACATAATAGATTCTTTTATAACGTTTACATCCGCCAATATTATAGAATTTCGTGCACTTCTGCAGGATATTCCATAATATTGACGGACGGTGAATTACGTAAAAATAGTTACGGAAAACGGTGTGACTTCTTTGGATGGATGTCGACCATAATAATGTTAAAAAAAAATTTAGAACTTACAAGTATTCAATTTGCACTAAAGTTTACTGTATTACCGCTCCAGAAAGTAGATAAGCCGAATTCTCAACAAAAATTGCAAGATCGTATTCTTCAACATATTGATGCCAAACGTATATTCCGCGCAACAGCAGCTTTTTTTTTTTTTAGTGTGTTAGCTGTTGGTCGCAGGTGACCTTTACAGCGTCACCGGGTTTGGGGACGGCGAGATCTTAAGGGGACCTCAAGCCGAGAATTGGCGAGTGCCTCTAGAGGTATTCCGGGCGGATGGCGTCTCCCCATAGGGGGGAGCCTCCTCTCCGTCTGGAGCCTTTAGACCACTCGAACCTGAGGGGGCAACAGCAGCGCTACTCAATACAAATGGAATCGTCAGTTACTAATTAAAATACAAATTCTTACACAGTGGATATAAAATGAAGTCCGACGTTTTTTTTTTTAATTTAATTCTCAAGGTACGTTGGACCGTTAGGGTCCGGTATCGGACTTAAGACTTAAAATGAAAGGCATTTAGCCTTTAATTTTAAGTCTGTATCGGACGTTGAAAGGGTTATAGGGTTATATAATTGAATATGATATATTAGATAAAATATAATTGAAAAAGAGTGGGGCGCTTCATTATAAAATTTAGCTTTTAGATTTAAACATTATGAATCACGTAATATATTAATTGATTTGATAAATATTGCAATGAATAGCCCCACGCTTTTTCAGTTATATATGTATGTTAAAATAAACTTTAAACATGGCTAACTCTAAGGGCCTAATGAAGTATACAGAGAGTATATTTTGTGTTTATTTTTGGCTTTTTAGTGCAGTAAATAAAAGCGTGTTTAGTTTTTTTAAACTATTAATTTATTAATTATCTAAATAAATGTAATCTTTAGCATGACATAATTTAAAATTTTTGACAAAGCTTAAATTTTCGTCTTTTTGTGTCTGCTATTACTGGCTTTTAAACAAAGAAACGAATTATAGTAGCTAGTATGAATTACATATATACATGTTAAAGCTTCAGGTTTTTACTCTTTTGTAAAATTAGGCAACATTCAAAATCTCAAAACATTTTATAATATAAATTAGTGTGTGTATTAAGCAAGACTGTTAGGTTTTCTATTATTCATATCGTTGAAGTTTAATTTACTAAGGGCGTCTGTTTATAGCTAACCTGAGTTTAAATAAATAAATTGTAAATTATGTGTTTAAATACTAACTATTTAGCCCTACCAAATCATTGCATTAAATTCATATCACCATATGTGTCACATAAATAAAATAAAAAAATAAATAAAAGTAAATATTATTATTTATAATTATAAACAAACATAAAATAGTACCAATATACATAAAAATATTTACACGTATCTTTTGTAATACATAATCTTTGACAATGGCAACGTAAAAAGAAATAATGAAATTAAATATAATGTCAATGTATTTAACCGTAACTTCGTCGTCAAAAACAATACGGGGCAAAAGTCACATTTTGACTCTGTTTAACCTCGCCTTTACGTGAAAAGACGAGTTCGAAAATAAGATTTCACAACGTAAACTTTCGGTCTATTTTGGAGTAACAACAAATAAACATTATGCCCGTCGCGAGTGTCTGTCAACTTTTTTCCTACATTTACTTAACAAAGTTTGGAATAAAACAAGGGGGGACTAGGTTAGGTATTATAAATACATATCTACATAAGTTCTTATGTTTTTTTTACATTTTAAGTTTGAAGATCAAAAACAGCTACATGATTAAAATGCCCCAAAGGATTACTAGTATATACAAGAAGTAGGCCATAGCAAATTCCCCGCTCAAATTGAAGCACCCAGGAGGGGATTGGGTTCGCAAGGTGAGATGAGGATGGCTGAAGCATCATACCATCCTGGCGCTTCAGCTATCTTCGTGACTGGCCTCCACTTACACTTAACAATAAGTAGGGTATGGTAATTGCTTTAAAAAAATAAATAGGAGCCTACCGAATATTCCCAAAAACACCTAGTCATATTATATTAAAAACTTCATATCTCATCAGCATAGCACCAAAGATTTAATTGCGTCTGTATATTAGATCAGGTCGCCACAAAAGGTTCGACCGGCACAAAAACACTTTTAGGTGTATTTTTTAAGAGTTCAATTATTTGTGTCGGTACGGGCACGGGCGTACAATGCGTAGTTATTAAACTTTTGTAACGTGGCTTTTTCTGAGCGTAACTGCTACAGCGCGACGCATACCTGCGTCCTTCTCAGCGGTTTACCTGTACTTGTGAGAGGGCAGCGACTAACCATAGCCTTTACTCACTATAGAAACGGAACTTTGGAATAATACAACAGGAGAAAAACTAGTAAAATTACTAATAATAATGTAAGTAATTATTTTTTTAAAGGATTACTTTAGGTTATTAAGTGATTTAAGTGAAATAAATAAAAATAAATTATTAAATTGCATTAGCTTATATTCTTCGGCTTTCCTTGCAAAATAAATTAAAACCTAAAACACACTTTCCAATATTTAAGTATTAAATGAGAATTCTTTAATTCTAGTGCCATATAAATAAATAACAAAAGAAAAAAAAAGGATTTCAAGTAATTCAGATTTCATTTTTGGGACGCACAAAGTTTTCCCGCCCAAACGCGATAGGTGGCCGTGTCTCCATCTAAGTAAGACTGTGGGTTGCGCGGGCGCACCGCTGCTCACAAACCGGGCAGACCAGTACACCATGGAAGTCAGTGTCGGACGGTTGTGTCTTGAGACCCGCGAGTGATGTCGCAGCATGGTCGCTGCGCGTGCCTTCCTGTGGTGCCTGTGCCTCCTCTCTCTCGCGGCCTGCGCGGACGCCGCGCGCCCCCATAAACACCACCAAGCTTTACCAGCCAGACATAAACCAAAGCATTCGGAATTTGTTAAAGGAAAGAGTAAGTTCCTCCTACTCAGTGCAGTGACAGTTTTACAAAATTACCTTAGTGATTAAGTGAATGAATTAGTATAATCGACCGAATAAAAGCATAGTACTTAATATGTAAATCAATGAAACCCTTGTTGTGGGTACAAAATAAACAAGGCTTATCGCGGACCGATAAATGTAGCCTTATATAGCTCGGAAAGCTTCTCGTTCGTAGGCCGTAGATTGCGGCGGAAGCCCACCTTATAACGATCACGTTGTACTTGTGATGTGGATTCATATTTTCCGAACACAGAGTGCAAATTTTCTTAAAAGTAGACTGTTTAATAAAATTGACAAAATGAAGGTACTTTTAGTGATTCGTTCAACTTTCATGGCGCCTGCAGCGGTTGTAGTTTCCTTTGTAACCCTGTCCATTTCAAGTTTTGAGAAATGTGCACGCCATGGTTTTTAATGATTTATTATATATAACATTTTCAATTCCTAAAGTCTTACATAGTTCGTTTCCAAAACATTCTAAGAACATTGACACGACTCGTGACTACCCTATTTATTGATGAGATAATTTTTCCGTCTGTATATATATATATATATATAATTTTTTATTGTATAAATGTAAATATATATATATTATTCATAACTACCAAACATTTTTAGCCAAATACAAAAAAAACATATTTGTTAAGCATAACAAAACTTATGTGTAATTCGACTACATATTCACTTAGGTAAATTTCTTCCTTCATTTTTTTTTCATAAAAGTTAACTTTCATTTCGTTGTAACTATTTAGAGGTTGTATTTACTTCAAAATGCATAAACGCAAAGTGAAACGAAAAAAAGAGTAAGTTTCAAGAAATGAAATGCAATTCAAAAGATTATCATTAATCTTTGTTAGAGTTTTTATCTTATCTTATCTATGTATCAATTCAGTTAAAAACTGCGTAAATCCCAGAGTAGGTTTATTTTTCTAAATCAAAAATATTGAATTTTGGGCATCGGGTTAAAAGATAGGTTACCAATACTTTTGAACTCCGTAACTGTATGTAGTGTTACAATTTTTATCGAAAATAACTTAAAATGTCTTTTAGCATAAACAATATAATCGGTCTGTTTCATGTGTTGTCCTCAAAAGATCCTTCCGAGGACAGTAACAGTGGATTATTCTAATTAGTATTGAAACGACGATTTCTATTTAAATTCGTATAATAACACTAATGAGACAGAAATCTACGCATTTGAATATAACCCACCTGAATATTTAACACATAAGACATTTGAATTCTCCAAACCGAACGTGCGCAATATTTTGTTTGATTATTATACAATTCCACACGTACACTGCGTAGGGTGTTTCAAAGATTCATTGTTTTGGTAAAAATTACATGCGACCTCTATTGTATTGCGGGGCTTGGGATCAAATGACCGTATAAAAAGGTTTTGAAAATAACTATTTATTATGTTAAGCTAATGACCCTCTTGATCCTAATCAGAGCGCGAAAAAGAAAGAACAGGAATATTAATTTAATCTGTTAAGTAAAAATAATGATACTCTAAAACTTCTAAGCAATTTTTGACAGTACGAGTCTGATGATAGAGATAAAATCACGGAAAGTATATTTTTAACCAGTTTAGTAGAATATATCAGCTCAGTTAAGAATTTATTGGATTCAAATATCAAACTAATAGTTTGATATTTTTACCTACCTACCCTACATAAACGTAAAATCTACAATTGAGGACAATTAAGTCGGGAATCCTTATTAGATTACAAATGCGATTTCTCTTGCAATTGATGATACTCAACTGAAATTCTGTCGAAATTGTACCTACCAGCGAATTTTCATTTGTTGTTATTCGCGCATATACAAGTTGATTTAGGTTGAAAGAATTTATTTTCATAAAGAACATAAAGTTTATGTAGCTACTAACTAAAATAATGTAAAGCGCAGCACAACCTGTGTAAATAATTTATAATTCAATAAGTAGACCAGGTAGTCTACATCAACAAGTACAGCGAAGAAGATATTTTATAAATTACTTCAAATTCCATTTGTTAAAAAAACAGTTAAATATTGCTCTTTTATATTGCTCGATATAATTCGTAGGTATCATATAATTTTTAAGCATATTATATTCACAACAAAAATAACACAATTATACATCATTTTGGGTGGCAAAGTGAATTCACCTTAACAATATACGAAAGCTGTTTGATATTTCAACAAAAATGGAACACCATTGAATAACGTCGCACTAAAAGCCTTATTTGGCAATGGCCCACTGTCTGAATCGTACGTGGTTGTGTCATAAGACCTACCACAGTAAACCCTTAACAGTGAACAAGACGTATCAAAATTGATAAATGCGAATACTTAAACTATAATAGCGATAAAAGTCACAGGCGTCATTGCAAAAACAAGCGTCATTTGTTGATATTAATAAAACATATTTGATTGGAATGCCGAAGAAACCATTTTTGCGTTACAGCGAACTAGAAAACTGGTTTCGGCGCATTAAAGGCTTGTTTAAAACGTTTATTACACTGGTGCACGTAAACAAATAATGTTTTGTGTGTTTGTTAATAAAGGTAGACACTTTGGTAAATTCTATAAACAGAATAATGTCTTCGAAACACATTTTTTTGTTTAAATACTTAGTTGTATATATATATATATAGAATATACTTAGTTTTTAAACTGTCGAATCGCTGTGTTTTGACAAGAAACTTCAACACGCTTTAAGTTCTGCGGTAAATAGTAAAGGCATTTTTTTTTTCAATCATACGCCGTTTGTGTGTCTCAGGTCTGTTAATTTCTAATACACTGAGCTGAATTCCATCTCAACCTACGTTTTGTAATCTGCGGTTTCATATTTGCGTCCGAGACTCAAGTCAAATGGCAAAAACTATTTGCTTAACCTGGCTAAACAACTCGATGTGAAGGCAAATGCTACTTTCTATCAAATGTGGTAATTATATTTTTGTGCGTTATGTTAATCAGTTTAATGCCTATTGCTTATACTTGTAATATATTTTTTCAAAAGCACAACAAATTAACTTGCTCTGTCTAATGTCAACAGTGAAGTCCATAGCTGACGCGGCAGAAATGTATACCGTACTGGTTGGTCTTCTCACCTTGCTGGTCTAAACTCAACCCCCTGTTAAGTCCTGGATAGCACGTAACACACCCACAGAAACAAAAAACATAACTTTACGTTGTCGATTGTTTCCGAAACAAACCTGTCCTTTGTTGTCCAAAACATTGGCCTTTTATTAAGTTTATTTCAAGGAAGTGTATTGCTGATAATTTTTTGAATCGAAATGAACATAAATATATTATATTGAAACAAAATCGACTCTTAATCACTATTTATATAAAGAACCTCTATAACTTAAAATTTATATCACCAATAAGATTTGAATAATTTCCAAATTTATGCGTGGCTCACCACAAAATGGTCTCTTTAGCGGCGATAGCATAGAACTAGGCGCCACTATCCCTGAAGTAAATAAAGATATAAGAATAGAAGCAATGGCACTTTCATAGTAATGTTTTATGTGTATTTCCATTATACTAATGAATGATGCATGCCTAGGAATCGGAGAGATATTATTAAAGTTGTCCCCGATTTATTTATTTAGACTAGGTACACACATTAGTTCTAAATTTAGATAAAATTTAGATTGCAAACTTGCATAATGGCGTTTTTCTTCTTTTTTATAAAATCTGTTAATTGGCTCGCAGCCGTTAATGAGACATTGAAACAAAATCGACTATAATAACGAATCCGTAGTAAACATTCTGGTTTTGTAAAGTAACGGCTATGTTAAACTTGATCGTGTTATAATGATATGCAAAGCTTGATAGGTTTTTGACCCGCGCGAGTCAGATGCCCTGTATCTTATTTCTTTACACTGTCTGTCGCACACATAGTTCCTATCATTTTGTATAGCTATTTTGACGTGATGAATATGATATAGCGATTCGACATTACATCCACGCCAACTCCTTTTCTACTTTGTAATAGCTCAACTTTATTGAGTTTGATCGTAGAAGTTAACCAACTTTTGTAACATGATGGGTGACCAAAAATTTGTAATCTCGAGCTCCTCCGTGCTTCGGAAGGTACGTAAAACAGTTGGTCACGGTGACATCTGCACTCACTATCACCCACCAGTATCTTCGCGTTAAGGGTCAAGGCCTGTACTCACTATTTCTTGCATATGCATGCATGCTTGTGCCCTAACATTAGGAACATTAATAGGCTGATGATGATGATACTATGCTTTTATATCTCAAAACCTTCAGTTTCAGTAACATCGTGTTAAGTTAGCTAACTCATCTTGCACTGGAAACATTTTACACCGACACTTCACTTGCTAATTGTAAATTTGAGAACAGTCTGTTTTTATCATGCTTTATAAGGAAAAGGACAGGCTGATATCAAGTTTACAAATAGCAAACACGAATACCCAAGTGAAGTGTATTAGAGTTCTAGTTATGATCTAAAGCTGGGTCCACACGGCAGCTACTTTAATCGATAACGACTCGCTGGCGATGTCAAAATAAATTTTTGGACGTGAATATTACCAGCGATTTATTGACGCTGCCAATGTAGCGATCAAATCGCTGTAAATCTGAAAAGTCGAAGTCGCATGATAGTCGCCAGCGACATCGTTGCTGTGTAGGCGTAGCTGGATTATGAAATTTAGCGGAACTACATTAATATTATCTGTCTTTTGTGACTGAATTTATAGAATTATATCGGGATTGACCTTAATTATGGATGGTTAACAGTAAATATTACTGAAATAGCAATTTAAAGTCACAAAGTTGTGAAATTTTAGTCGCACTAATTTTTTTACTCTTTTTTTGTTGCTTTTTTTTTTTATGTAAACGACTTCTAGCAACATTCGATGCGTTTCTATAGACTTAATATCGAGCACAAGTAAAACAATAACGGTAGCTACCAGTATGTACACGTATGCTGCGAAAAGAATACTAAAAAATCGCTACAATGTAGACCCATAAGTCATAAATCGCTAGCGAGTCATCGTCGATCGAAGTTGCTACGTGGAGACCTAGCTTAACACCTTCATTTGTCGATATTAATTAGATGGTGAAAAATTTTGCTTAGATTGAGACTGGACGATTGAGTGTGAAAGTTGTGTACTATTAAATTTTAACAGACTACGAAATCTAAAATGTTCATGCTACTTTAACTTTTTTTTTACCTACCGTAATGAATGCGGCTCAAAATTTTCAGTCCCCATTATCTATCTGATATTGGTCAGATCGGTATTTTAAAAAGATATTAATTTTGAATACTTAAATTATTCGTTAGGAGACTCTTTTTTCGGCAGCTATTTGTTTTTCTTTTGTGAGTATTCATATTGTTATTTTTTGTATGATTACAGACAGAAGAAGCATATACCTTAGTGTTTAGTGTTTATGATAACATTTTTCAGTTTGATACTACATAGTATGTTATTATGATTTGTGAATTCAAATTACTGTTGATATTACTAGGAACTAGGTACAACTATATATTCCTATCGTATTCTTAAGAAGCCTTATTTAAGGGAGTAGTTACTTATAATTAAACTATTGCTATTTTTATTACGTGTTTATTTTTTGGAAATGTTTTTTGTCTTTTTGCATTATAATTATTCAGGTCAATTAAGCTGGTTTTTATCTGTTGGCCTTTTCGAATTAGGTATTCAAAGACCGTTTATTTTTATGTATAAATACGTTCAATTATGAATTCTAAATTGAATCTTAATATTTAATGATGTTAATTACAATTTCAGATGATTGAAGTTGTTATACATTTTTGTAATTCAGATTCTTATAAACTTAAGTTATGTTGTTTAATATTAAGTTTATCTACCTATGTAGGTATAAATGTTTATTTTGGAGTTTAATTCAAACCTTTCTTTAATAAATAGTTAATTTTAATACAGGGTTAGTCGGGCAAGCCCATCAACCGTATTAAAAAAAACATCAAATAATTCATTCATAATTAATCATCTGACGATGCAGACCTGAAAAGGCTGCGAAACGTCAATAAATAAATAAAGTTTCGTGCATTAACCCGTAAAAACTAGTTTTATCAAATAATTAGCTTATTAAGTATAAGATTTAATTCCCTTATTAGAATTTGAGGGAAACTATTATTATAATTAACGTTAAATGTAACATTACATATAAAACAAATACCTACTTAGATACTCAATATAATGATATTTTTCAAATTTCCTTGTATTCGTCCCTTGTCCGTTCTGATATTAACATCAATCTTGCTAAACTAAACCTTTAGCTTCAAATTGTTACGTGTCAGTTCTTTTTGAACAATAAACACCCACTTTTCTCCGCACCTTTTCAAATAATTATTTCAAAGTTGCCCCTACATCGGCGAGTTACTTCTGCCATGTTACATTACTAGTCAAAGAGAGGCAGCAGGGTAAAACGCGTGGAACGATACTCAAGTGAAAGGTCGAATGGCCAGAGCGAAATGGAAGTACAAAACTGGTTCCAATGCTTCAGAATGCAAGTAACTGGATAAAAACACGGCGTTGAGAGGAACCAGTCGTAGGAGGTGCGCTTGCGGTGCGAAAGATTGCTTAAGGACGTCTGTACTGCTTAACTGCAGTAAACCTTAAACATAGTTATTCTTTACGCGTTCGAATAGCGAAGGTTGTTAACTCCTTACCAGCTAAATAGACGTCGAGTATATTTTAAGGGTAGATAACACTGTATTAATTCAGTTTTATAAATTACAAACTACGTAAAGTGTATTAACTATTTATTTTACAATAACAGTTTCAGTTAGAGATAATATAGTGTATATTCCCTATTATTATTATTTCCTTATTGTACCTACACTTAATTAAAGTTTTGTTTTGCAATAATTCCTTTTTCCATGCGTTTTTATCCTGTCTCTAATTAAATCGGGGTTGTGACTTTAAATAATTTACAAATACAACATTTTATAATGCTCCAAAATCCTGTGTTGACCTTAAAACGAACAACGAGTGGGTACTAATTTGTGCATATTCGAAAGGCTCCGCCCGCGTGGTCGTCATATGTGGGCGCCTGGTTGCAACAAAATATGGCGGATCTGTTAACTGACCACGTTTTATTACCAAATGGTTACAACCAGCAAGTTCACTCTCACCGAACATTGTTGATACATAGTTTAGAAGATCGAAATCGGTGCAGCCACCGCGACGTCATAGCTACACTTGAATACTATCGGCTGTATCATCTGGGTCGACCGGACGAGCTGCTACTGCTGCCCACACGACGAACTGACAAACTTAAAAATCACATACCCCTGCGATATTATGAACCCGCTAGCTTCGTATCATGGTAACACGGATAATTTTGAAATCAGCAACAATAGAAGCAGTGAGGCCGCGACAGAAAGACGTTTTAATTCGAACGCTTGCATCATACAATCCTGATACTTTCGAATGTTTAAACAAACGATTTATCCTTCTCCTCAGCAGCATAAACATAAACACATGGTAAACTGTCATTAATAAGAGAAATAAATAAAGTAAAGAATGTACCAACATTAAGAGATATTAAAATCTTAGTATTATATTTCAACACAAAACATAAACGTATCATATGACAGTAGAGTGTACTCACTCGCATGCAGATAGAAATATAGTCTATTATTTAGAGAAGCAGGTAAATTTTACGTTGCACCTTGAAAACTGTACTCCCTACCAAAAAACCGTGCTTTTGTTAGCCGAGCACTCAAAAGCTCTCTCGACCGTAAGTTGTGTATTATGCACCACAAATACGGTGATTGAAAGTACAAATTCAAATAGCACCATCTTTCTTTTTATCTATCCATGCGCCTTTTGTGTTATTCAGTTTACAAAACTACCTCGTAACTTAAATCTTGTTAATTAAATACAAAAATGAACCAAGTTACGAGAGGATTTATGCATTAATTTTTAAATTAAATGTTGTCTAACTTTAAGTAGTATTACTAAATACGAGCAATAAACATTTAAATCTTACGTTACTCTGGCACAAAGGCATTAAATTAAAAAACAATGTGTTCTTAAACAGTACAATTTTATTGTGTATTTGTTAGATCGATCGTTTCAATAACAATCCGACCAACGGTAAATGACTGTGGCTAAAATCTGATTTATTCCTTATTTCGTTTTACACTGTTGGTTCAACTCCAAATGTCTTTTTGTTTTCGCTGCGGACCGGGCGTTGTATCTATTTTCATAGCTTAGTCACAGATAGCGGTGTTACGTGTATCGTAGTAGAGAAAACAGGCTCTAAGCCCGCCCACACGGCACCGCCTCTTCGTTAGCCGCGCAGTTCCTAACTTGTCGATCAGCCGACCTACAAACACATTGTTTTTATTAGACGTATTGAAAACCGTCTAATTTAAGATCGAGGAGAAAAATCAAATTGCCCTATGTCTCAATTCTGCATTCAGATGATATTTCGACATTGTAGGTACTTATTATTACCTGTAATGCTAAAACTTAATGGATGATTCATTTTACCCTCGAAATTATTTTCCTTCTTGAGAATTCCAAGAAAAAATCATAGTGCGTGGGACTTATTATTAATGGCATTGAGATTCCAAAGAACTTTGCTTAAAATAAGATAGCCTCGATAGTGTTTATTATTCATTAAACAGTATTTTCTTAATAAATTGTAATATTGTTGTTGTTTCTCGTGTGTTGATCATGATGATTACTTTCAATAATGTTCCTCATTTTTGTTGTTTTCAGTATGCATCGGGACGAACGGGCGCATGTCGGTTCCGTCGAACCGCGAAACACACTACCGGAATCTTCGAGATCGCTTCACCAACTGCACCTACGTCGACGGCAATCTCGAGGTGACATGGCTTCAAAACGAGACCATGGACTTATCTTTCCTCAAATACATAAGAGAAGTGACAGGATACGTCCTCATTTCACATGTAAATGTTCGACAGATTATCTTGCCACAACTGCAGATCATTCGTGGTCGTACACTCTTCAAACTCAACGTGAGACAAGAACAGTTTGCTCTCCTAGTCACGATGTCAACAGCCTTTACACTAGAGTTGCCAGCGCTTCGAGATGTACTGCGCGGCAGTGTCGGCGTTTATAATAATTATAATCTGTGCCACGTGAAAACCATCAATTGGGATGAGATCATAACTGGCCCGAACGCGACCTATGTATACGTATACGACTTTCAAGCAGCAGAACGCGAATGTCCGCGATGCCACGAAAGCTGCGAAGCTGGCTGCTGGGGAGAAGGACCTGAAAATTGCCAAAAATTCTCGAAAACGAATTGCAGTCCACAGTGTGCCCAAGGTCGTTGTTTCGGGCCAAACCCCCGAGATTGTTGTAATACTTTTTGCGCTGGGGGTTGTACTGGACCTTTGCCTAGCCAATGCCTTGCCTGCCGAAACTTTTATGACGAAGGCACATGCTCCCAAGAGTGCCCTCCGATGCAAATATACAATCCAACGAATTATTCTTGGGAGCCGAACCCGAATGGGAAATATGCCTATGGTGCTACGTGTGTACGAAATTGCCCAGAACACCTTCTAAAAGATAACGGAGCATGCGTGAGGAGTTGTCCTCCAAACAAAACCGCTGTTAATGGAGAATGTATACCGTGTAATGTAACGTGCCCCAAAACTTGCCGATCGGAGAGACCAATACATTCTGGAAACATAGAAAGTTTCAGAGATTGTACGATTATAGATGGCTCTATTGAAATCCTAGAGATGACTTTTACGGGATTCCAACACGTAAATCCTGATTATTCCTTCGGCGAACGTTATCCTAAGATGGAACCAGATGCTCTGGAAGTATTCAGCACCGTGCGCGAGGTGACCGGCTATTTAAACGTTCAAGCTGTCCATCCTAATTTTACTAGTCTCTCTTATTTCCGAAATTTAGAAGTTATTGGAGGACGCCAAGTTGTGGAAAACTTGTTCGCCTCCCTTTATATAGTCAAGACATCCCTAAGATCATTGGGATTGAAATCACTGAAACGGGTCAACTCTGGTGCAATTGCTATAATGGAAAATCGTAATCTCTGCTTCGCTGAAAAGATAGCTTGGAATAAATTGGTCAAGTCAAAGGATCATAAACAGATCATTCAGAAGAATGGTGATCAAAGAATTTGTGGTGAGTTTGCTATGCGATTTTTATTAGTATATGAGGATCCTCATTTTAGATTATGATAGGTATAAAAATTTGCAAATGCGATTTTTTTGTATTTATCACTTATAAATGTTGAAAATTTTGTGCTGTTTTTCTTTAACAATTTTGCAAGCGAATTCTATAAATTGTAGTCATGTTAATAATTAACCAAACTAACAGCTAACACTAATGGCAAGCTATGCGGTATAAAATCCAAGAATATCACGTGATCTAATTGAAGATCATTTGTCAAATGTCTGAATTTCTTTGACCATACAAAACCACATTAAAGTGTGAACAAATATATTATTAATGTTGTGGTTTTATCATTAAAGTAATAAGACATTTTTGGATTTTAACCTGTGAATTACATTTGCTTCAAACCTAACATTGAATTGTTCAACAGAAAAATCAAATTTGGTGTGCGATCCTCAATGTTCTACTGACGGTTGCTGGGGCCCGGGGCCAGATCAATGCCTCTCCTGTCAAAACTACAAAGTTGGCGAAACTTGTATCCAAAATTGCAGCGTACAACCTGGGTAGGTTTTACATAAATTTATACATTTATCTTGACACCTTTGCAGAACTAGGTACAAAATTATTCATGTAAAGCAATGCGAATGATTGGCAGTATCTGTTTCTGTATATAAATTAAATAAAAAAGAAATCAGCTACAATATTTATCACGAATAAAATGCAAAAATGCACAACAATAATCAACTTTTGGTGTGTCGGCTTTTTCACAATTACCACTTATATCATAGTTACATTGTACAAAATGACATTTTAATATTTGTAAATTGCTCTCATTTCAGATTGTACCAAGCTGGTTCAAAATTGTGTAGACAATGTCATTCCGAGTGTATAGACGGATGCACGGGACCGAGTCGTGCAAACTGCACCAGATGCAAACATGTCCGTGATGGGCCATACTGTGTCGCTGAATGCCCGGAAACTAGATATCCATCACAAAACAATACTTGTGAATCATGCCATTACCATTGCTTTAATGGGTGCACTGGTCCAGCCAATACAGTCGGCGAAGGTGGATGCAACTTCTGTAAGAAAGCAATCATCAGCATTGAAGCAACAGTTGAAAGCTGTCTTGCTGAGAATGCACCTTGCCCCGACGGATATTACAATGAATGGGTAGGCAACGTTAAGCCTTTGGAGGGCAAAGTAAAAGTGGTTTGTCGAAAGTGCCATCCACTATGCAAAAAGTGCACGGGTTTTGGTATCCACGAAACAGTATGCAAAGTTTGCAATGGCTTCAAAAGAGGCGACCAATGTGAAGATGAATGCCCCGCCGATCACTTCACTGATGCTGATTTCAAAACCTGCATGCCATGTCACCACGAATGTAGAAACTGCACTGGGCCAACATCAAGAGATTGTACTAAATGTCATAATCTGAAAGTGTTTTTAACTGATCCGAATTCTTCCGACAATACATCCACTTTTATTTGCGCTGATACCTGTCCAGAAAATATGCCACATAAAATTTATTTTGATGAATTACATCAAAATCCTATCGAAGAACCCTTCTGCTCTGAATTACCTAGTGAAATGCCTGATATAAACACTGCTGGAACACCAACCGTGTTAATAATAATTTTAATCATAGCTTTCTTACTTCTAGTAATATTAGGAATAATAGGATATACATGCAGACAGAAGGCAAATGCGAAAAAAGAGGCAGTTAAAATGACCATGGTGCTAACCGGTTGCGAAGACAATGAACCTTTACGCCCAACCAATGTTAAACCAAATTTAGCAAAATTAAGAATAGTGAAGGAAGCTGAACTTCGTCGCGGTGGTATGCTTGGCTTTGGTGCATTTGGAAAAGTGTACAAAGGAGTGTGGGTACCCGAAGGAGAAAATGTTAAGATTCCTGTGGCTATTAAAGTTTTGAAAGAAGGCACTGGAGCGAACACGAGCAAAGAGTTCTTAGAAGAAGCTTACATTATGGCAAGTGTAGAACACCCTAACTTATTGCAATTGCTAGCCGTGTGTATGACAAATCAAATGATGTTAATAACACAACTAATGCCGCTGGGATGTTTGCTTGATTACGTAAGAACTCATAAGGAAAAGATTGGATCTAAAGCATTTTTGAATTGGTGTACTCAAATTGCACGTGGTATGTCGTACTTAGAAGAGAAACGTTTGGTGCACCGTGATTTAGCAGCTAGGAACGTATTAGTACAAACACCAAACTGTGTTAAAATAACAGATTTCGGTTTAGCTAAATTATTAGATATTAATGAAGATGAATATAAAGCAGCCGGAGGCAAAATGCCCATAAAATGGTTAGCATTGGAGTGCATACAGCATAGAATATTTACTCACAAGAGTGACGTATGGGCATTCGGTGTAACCATTTGGGAGATTTTGAGTTACGGTGCACGTCCTTACGAAAATATTTCAGCAAGGAATGTTCCAGAGCTGATTGAAAACGGATTGAAATTACCACAACCCAGTATCTGCACGTTGGACATATACTGCATTATGGTTTCATGTTGGATGCTAGATGCTGACAGCAGGCCAACATTTAAGCAACTGGCTGATACATTCGCTGAAATGGCTCGAGATCCTGGCCGATATCTCGTAATTCCAGGAGACAAATTTATGCGTCTCCCATCCTATTCTACTCAGGTATGTATTTTATTAACTTCCAAATGACTTTTATTTTAATATTAAAGAGTGCTTGCTAGAATTAGAGTGATCAGAAATTTAGAATTTCCTAACTATTATATATATTTTCTGATCCTAAGTTATTTTGTAAATGCGATAGTGTGTTTGTTTGTTACCATTTCACGCTTAAACCACTGAATTGATTATGTTGATTTTTGGTAGAGGTTTATTTAAATACGGATATAATAAGTTAAAGGAAGGGAAAAAGGGGGGAAGAAATTTTGTATGGGAAACCAACCAAGGCATTATATAAACCTATCAAAACCTCGAAAACTATTGTTAGCGATCTATTTAGGTTAGAGTATGCCAAAAATAAATAAGATATTGATAGTCAGTCTATTACTGTTAAGGTGTGGTTGAGAATTCATACATGTGTATGATAATCATATGGTAGGTAGTCATCAAGCAATTAAGGCCCTGCACACTGCGCAAAATTTAGGTGGTGAATGTACGTCTCTAGAACAACTTTAGAATCATCAATGTTACTATGAAAACTTACAATAGTTTTAAATTCCAGGATGAAAAAGAATTAATAAGAAACCTCTCGTCAGCAATGGAGGGACCAGAACCTCTGGTAGAGGCCGATGAGTACTTACAACCTAAATTCAAGACTTTACCGGGTACTGCTACTACATCAGTGGTGAGTGTTGGTATCGAGACACAAACTAGTTCTCTGAAGCCATGCACATCATCATCATGGGCTAATAACGGTACTGGACTAGACTGTGTAACTACCGACGGTTCAAACAAACCAGAAACTTGGGATCACGAACTTCTAAGGTACGCTCATCAAAACAATACTGATACACCCGAATTACGGCATTATTACAACAATGGTGTCTGTGCTACAGATACTTCAAGTTCAAGATATTGCAGCGATCCTATGAAAATCCGCACAGACTGTACCTTAGAAGAAAATTTCGATACGATGTCAAAGACGAAAGAAGCTCAAGTCGGTAATCTAAAATTGAATCTACCTCTGGACGAGGACGATTATTTGATGCCATCACCGCAGCACAATCAGAACTCTTCAACGTACATGGATTTGATCGGTGAGGGTGGTGAGGGTCAGGATATTAAAGAGCTGCATTATACTAGTAGTTTCGTGGGCTCGAAGCGATGTGTGGACAATCCGGAGTACTTGATGTCGGATGAGAGCGTTCCAGCACAGACACTGGGCATTCCTACGGAGCCAGTTCCTCTAGAGTCGTTGTGTGTAAGTGAAGGCAGCGGCAGCGAGAGCACTCCTCAGCCGGGCACGAGCAAATACCTCCCACAACGGTCGGTAGAAGAGGAGTCTATGTCGGACCACGAGTACTACAACGACCTACAGCGTGAACTACAACCCCTCCGACGAAACGAGACGACAGTGTGAGTGCTCTTTAATCACGGTGTAATATATTACAACGTATAGATTGATCTCCCCTCACTAATGACTGTTATAAAATAATTGTGCGCTCTGTGCGCACGCTTCGTGCCATTGGTGTAATGGCTAGTGTTAGCTTGTTGGATTATAATTCAACTATGAATTTTATTGTAGTTATAAACAAACTATTTTTGTTATTTTTTTCTACTTAATTTTTTTGTATAAAAATCTGTTATATGTAATTTTGTATAAATACTATTTTCATTTTATTAGGTGCTCGCTCGATGCTCTTAACAATTACGTAACTTATTTATTAATTTAGTTTTAAGGAAGGCTATGTTTACGTTGCTCGTATATAGCGTTAAGTAGCTATGCGAGTGTTATTTTAATTTTAAAACTGTGATAATTAGTATAATTTTGATAAAAGACCAGTGAAGTTCGAATATTAGGAACCGAGCATAAGATTAAAAGAGAGTGCTGCTATTGTTCCGGTGTGAATCTATTTAGATTATGGTGATTCACACTGGACCATTATAAATAGATAGGTAAACTATTAAGTTCTTACATGTTTAGCACATTCCTGTACAGAGTAATCTTCGGTTTATGCTTTTGGAGATAAACAATGCCAATAATTATCATTCTTTTCGTCTCTTTTATAACAAACTTTGTTATAAATCGGAAAACTTAAAAGTTTTCATTTGAAAACTTTCTCTTTTTAATTTGAGTTCTACTTGCCTTCACTAGTCTAATCTCTCATGCGAAAGAGACATGAGCAACAACACTTAGTTCCGTTATAGAAATATAAGTACATTTCACTAAATATAGCAATTCTAAACTGTAACATTGTCCGTAATCACACTGAATGAGCCTTAATGTTTAATATACAATGATATCAATATTCGATGTACATATTATATTACTCATAAAAGATTTATGCACTTTTTAACAGCAGCCCACAAAAGACATTATTTTAAGTGTATTTATACTAAAGGAGCTGTCCCTAGCACAAAAACCAGCTCAATAAAACCCAACTGAAATGCAAATACATTTTATAATTGTAACTAAGTAGTTAAGTGTTTTATGTTTGGACCAAACTACATTGCCATGTAATATGTAAATAATATAATTATATCGCTACGCTATTGTATATAAATATATAAATTATATTAAGTAACCTGAGAATCATATTTTGTATACATTGCAAATAAATATTACTCAAAAGGAGTTTCTTTAATATATCCGCGCTATGAAAGCTCTAAAGTATATTGTGCCATTACATATTATGAAATAGATTATTTTACAAATAATTTTTAAAAACAAGAAATTTTTACCTTTATGTAACTTATAACGTTTATGCATGAATAGAAATGATAGTTTTTGAAAAATCAATACGATATTCTATGAATGTTTGTCTGTCTGTATAAACATATACCTACAAATTGTGTTGTAACTGCATTTCACTTGTTATAAATATATAGTAAGCTTTTCATAGCTAACATATTGTTTTGTGTGTAATAAACCGGCGCGTCGTGTCAAGTTGGCGCGATGTTGATACTTGTACCTAGATAAATGAAATCTGAATAAAGTGAAGTATTTCAATTATTATCACAGCCACCCCCATTAATATTGACATAAACACATTATCAAAAAGCTCATCCACAAACCTCGCAACCTGAGAAGGGCCCAAGACGAATAATGTAATGGATGAACTATGTTTGACACAAAATCGTTTGTTATATTTAGATTCGAAACTGCTAGATTTATAAATTATTATTTTTTTTACAAGAATATGCTTGTTTCTTGTTTTCAACACAGCCATGAAGGATTCGGTGGCAAAGCTGAAGGTTCAGGTTCGCATCCTGTCTGAAATGACACCTAGACTGAGTGAAATTAATTGTAGTAAAAATTTTGTTTAGAAAAAATCCTTTAGCATATTTTCATTAATACCGTCCCACCAAGCCCTACTAAACAATGTTACACTAGGTGTTATTTTTCTTCGGGTTGCCTCCATACTGTGACCCTCCCATCATCTGACTTAAAACAGAATCTTTCGAATATCTTCAGCATGTTGAACAACGAGTACTTTTCCCCAAGTACCATCTCAACTTCAGTCTGAAGTTGATGCAGTCATTTTATTTGCTACTAGTGGCCCGCCCTCGCTTCGCTTCGGTGTAGAGCTGTAGTGTAAACTATAGTTTTTGTTCTCAGGCTTGTGCTATAAACAATGACTTTATTTATATAATTACACGTGTTATTGTGAGTCAACCATAAAAGATAGACATATGCTGTTGCGGGATATTTTATAGACAATTTTATGTAGAATATTTTTGTCATACATGATTTCTATGTAACTTTAACCATTAAGGCTGCGCACGTGACGGAAGCTTCAAAAATGGAGTAACTTCTCCCGTTTTCCCAACATTTCCCTTCACTACTCTGCTGCTATTGATTGTAGCGTGATGAAAAGTATACTATAACCTGCCCAGGAGTATGAAAAATAATTGTACCAAGTTTGGTTAAAATCCGTCGAGTAGTTTTTGTTTCTATAAGGAACATACACACAGACAGACAGACAGACAGACACAAAAATTTTACTGATTGCATTTTTGGCATCAGTATCGATCACCAATCACCCCCTGATAGTTAATTTGAAAATATATTTCATGTACAGAATTGACCTCTCTACAGATTTATTATAAGTATAGATATAGATAAGACAATAAGACTAAACTGTTAATCACACTTGCCCAACTTCTTGTAGCATTTTCCATCGGATAAAGTCGAACTGCGTTTTGCTGTGGGTGTGCACTGCATTCGATTAACTCAACACTCAGTATTTTTAATTGAGATTAGAAATTAAGAATAACATGTATGTATTGCTGTTTACTACTCAATCACATAATAAGGGCTGAACGGATATGGATTAAATTTTACATGCAGACAGCTTATTGTTATTTCCTGTGGGATTATCAAAAAACTAAATTTAACACGGACGAAGTCGGGGGCGGCTGCTAGTTTGGAAATACATAATTAAAACCTCCATGGCTTAAGTACAAATATTCGTAATCATCATAAAAACATTCGCCCCACTGGGTTCGCACCAGGGACCTCACCAGGCATCACCTTTAAGCCCAGCGGACAAACCACTCGCGCCACGGAGGTCTTCAATATAGGATGGATGACCAATTATTAATTATCTCGAGCTTCCCCGTGTCTCGGGAGGCACGTGAATCCATTGTTGCTGGTGCGGCGTTGTTTCACGCCCGAGCAACAGTGATAGACAGTACAACAAAGTACTGTACAAGACGCAGGTGCGATCTTGCGTGGAATATTGCTCGCACCTCTGGGATGACTCCGCCAAGTACTCGGTGCTTTGAATAAGTTTATTTTTTTAAATAATTCGGCTACCCCCGTTTTGTGACAGGTCTTTATATTCTTTTCTTTCTATTCTTTTTATTTATATATACACACATCAAAAGTGTCTAGGGATCAACATATATTTTTGCAATAACTTTTCTCCTGATTGATATTAATTAAAATTTTCTTTAAGGATTCATCAAATAAAGTGTTTTCGTTTGTCACAGTAACGATAAACCAAGTCACCTTTGCATTAATAAAGAAATTTGCCATTTTCCTAATAAAGTAATTTTTGACATTTGAACCACTAACACAAAAGTTCGAAAAAAAGACTGAAATAACAGTTTTCTCTAAAATTTTATTGGGTAACTTAAACAATTAATAATCCGTATTTCTACCGCGAACACTAACAACACAAGAACATCGGTTTGGCATACTCAAAATGAGTTCATCCAAATCACGCTGTGGAATGGCCGCCCATGTTCGTTGCAACAACAAAAAAAGGTCTTCTTGCGACTGGATACCCTCCATATTCGGCAGAGCTCTTCTCTGTAGCATATCCCATGCATGCTCAATCGGGTTCAAGTCTGGCGACTGAGCAGGCCAGGGCAGGACATTGATGTTAGCTGCGGCGAGAGTCTGTCTTACAACTCTTGCGGTGTGCGGTCGTGCATTATCATGCATTAACTGAAATAAGGGACCGATTTGCACTTGTAGAGGAACGATGACGTCTGATACAATCGTCTCAGCATAAATTTGAGCGTTGAGGTTGCCTCTGATCCAAATCAACTCAGTTCTTCCGCCGATCCAAATACCCGCCCATACCATGATGGTTCCACCACTATAAGGATGGACTTCCTGGCAGGATTTTAATCGCTGTTGGCGTCCAGGGGTTCTCCAGTGTCGTATACGTCTTGTATCCGGTCTCATACCAAAACGAGACTCATCAGAAAAGCACACGAAACGCCATTGTTCTTCTGCCCAATTTCTGTGTTCAAGAGCCCATTGATATCGAATCCTACGATTGTGCATTGCTATAGGTGGTACCCGTAGCGGTCTTCGGGAATGAAGGTTCACTTCATGCAAGCGGTTTCTGACTGTTTGGTCGCTAATTAAGTTCCCTGAAGAGTGATGAAGCCTCACGGCTAACATCATGGCGGTTATTGTTGGAGCTCTTCGAGTTAAGATTTGAATGTATCGGTCTTGTCTCCGTGTGGTGCAGCGATACCGTCCTCCATGGCGCTCAGCCACGGTACCAGTGCTTCGGTATCGTGTCCAAAGTCGACTGATAACACTCTGACTTGTATTCAGAGCTAAAGCCACAGTACGTTGCCGGGAACCAGCTTCTATCATTCCCACGGCTCTGAGCATTTCTTCCCTGCTTAAATGACGTCGCCGCTCCATAATAACGTTGGTTTTAATCAGTAGTAGGGAAACAGTAGCACTAATAATGTCTTCAATGCGTTGTATGTTTTTATAGGGAAAATATTGACAGCTGATTTTCATCTTTTACTCGAATTTGATTCACAGTTCCTGATTCAAATTATGAAATGCACCAAAAAGGATCCATATAAATTTATAAAATCATAAATTTATTACAAAGCCACATCTCAATCTCAAGAAATCCGCATAAAAATGCTTGATCCCTAGACACTTTTGATGTGTGTATATTTCTTAATTGTATTATATGTTCTTTCTTATTCTAAGTTATGCATTAATGATAACATTTCTGTTTTACTGATTTGTGTATCTATGCGTGTCTGAAGTGTGTGTCTGTATGTTCCGTACAGGGGGCACTCTATGAGGACATGGAAGATGTCCTCCTCTGCACCTGGGTCGCAAACGCATCTAGGGTTGCCCTTCTTCTTAAATCTATGGAGGTTGGCGGAAAAACATCCATGTCCCGTGAATATCTGAGCGGCAATCCTGTCAATTTTTAATCTTCCTTACTTAATTCCAAAGACTATTTCCACGCAAGGGAAAAATGCCTTTGTTGTGGCTGCCGTGTTTTTTCTACCTTTTTTATTTATTCTACCTTTGTCTCAGCGCGTAAATGTCGCTCGTGTAACAGAAGTTGGGTCAGGGTGGCGAAATTAAAATGCGGTTATTTTAAAGTAACGTGTTCAGTTACCAGTATTACAAATAGGAATGAATAAAACTACATGCCGGGCCTAACACAATCGCGAAACAAAGAATTAAACAACAGTTAAGACTACGCAGAAGTAATTAGTTAATGTAAACAAAACCAACGCATGGCGGCCTATCTTTATCACACATAATAATGGAACCCGGTGACGCGAGCTTCGTGAGAACTCTATAACACTTGACAAAAGAGATGGGACAGCTGTCATAGTGCGACTTACACCTTAACCCGAGAGCCGCTCCCTTCGCTAGCTCATCCACTTTCTCGTTCACGACCACACCTACGTGGGCCCTGATCCAATATAGGGATACGGTTTTTCCGTTCCGTTCCAGCGGAAGAAGCCCCGATAACACTAGCGCAGCGTTGAGCGACACCGTTCTGTAGCATTTGACTACCTTTTGAGCGAAACCCCTCTGTAGAACATTCAATTTCTTAATAGTAATAATTTTGTGGGCCTCTTTTGCCCAAACGCTTGCTCCGTATAATATAATTGGTTCTATCACATCCTAATATATTGTTCTGATTATTTCTGGGTTCAAACCCCATGGCCGCCTAGTTTTGGCCGCCCTCGATATCCCCTTATAAATATTTTTTTTTTTTTACATATGTAGCTAATGTGGCTATTGACCACGTGGTTTTGGGACTTTGTTTGAAAAGTCGCTGAATCCTGAAACCTAGCCTGCGGCTTCTCCTCGTCAAATAATATAATTGCCCCCCACAGTCCTTTTTCTTTTTTTTTTTGATACACTGGGGGAAATGAATTTAATTGCATACCACATGGTGGTTATGTGAGGATCTCCTCCCCAGAAGGGGGAGGCCTACCCACTAAACCCCAGCGATGGCCGCCATCAGGCATTTTACGGGGCCTCAGGATCGAGTATCGCATCTGAGGACCCGCAGCCTTTGCTCCCCTGCTTCCACCAGGGGAGCCCTTCTCGGGGGAGTGTTCGCAACCTCCCCCATCCACCCTCCTAAGACGACACCCCCCCATGCGGGGGGGGGGGGGGTATCGTCCCTCCCAGGTCGCTTCCATGAGCACAAGCTCCGTCGTGCTCACCAGCGACCCGCGGCGGCGCATCAGG